CCTCCTCTTCCTCTTCCTCCTCCTCTTCCTCATTATTTGGTTTTTATGAGACAAGATTTTGTTATATATTTCAGGCTGGCCTTGAACTCCCTATATAGCTCAAGCTAGCCTCAAATTTGCAGTGATCCTCCTCCCTCAGCCTGCGAGTACTGGGATCATAGGCCTGCATCACCACCACCACCTCTATGTTCTTATTCTGAGCCATAGTGTCTTTGGCTACTTCATGGAAATGTCCTACTTCATTTTCATTGTCACTTCCAATTTTTTGCCTAAGATAAACATACTGCTCACTCTTGAAGTCTGGGTGGGGTGCACTTTTTGTGCGCTTACTGAAGACCCTCACTTTCTTGTTTTGGGGTGACTACACAACCTAGCCATTGTCCAAGGGTAATTATTAGCAGCATTTCCTTTTGTTTTTCAGGGGGTCCCAGTAGATTATGTAGTCCATTTGTATCCTGCATAATGAGATTTTGGGCAATAATGGATTATACACATGGGCTGCAATAAAGAAGCTGAAAAATTCCTATCACCTGGTGAGGTTTTAACACTCACATTTAGTAGCCTAACATATAACTTATGTGTTTGTAGTAATGCTGGTACAAACAAACCTATTATGCTGCTAGGTAGGTATAGATATAGATATAGATATAGATATAGATAGTACATAATACTGATATAGATATATAGTACATATATATAGATATATAGTATATACTACTGATAATTCATGACTGTGTTGCTGGCTATGTACTTTTTATGCTATTCTCTCTCTCTCTCTCTCTCTCTCTCTCTCTCTCTGGTGTTTATATGGTACTACAGGTATTAAATCCAGAACCTTTGGACTGAGATCATCTCTAGCCCCTTATTTTATTTTATTTTTAAAATTTAAGACATGGTCTTGCAAGGTCACTAAGTAGCCCAGGTTAAGCTCAAACTTGTGAATTTCTTTCCTCAATCTCCCAGAGTGTTGGGATTGTAGACATATGCCACAATGCGTGGAATTATTATTGTTATATAGGATATACCTTCTACTGATTAAAAAAGCTTCCTGTAAGTGAGTCTGTGTGTTTTGCTGGCAGCAACCTCATGTATGTTGCTTACTGCATTTGTTTTTTTAAATTAATTAATTAATTCACTTTTATTTTGTACAATGTCTCACTACACAGCTCAAACTCATAGGGATCCTCCTGTTTTCAGCCTCCCCAGTGCTAGGATTACAGGCACCCTACCACACCCGTACTCAGTACTGTATCTCTTGATTACATCATTTTTCTCTTGTGCTCGACTCAGTTTCCTGTTTCATTCAGCATGGCCCTAGAACAACACCTTGGCCATCTATCTCTTATGTGTGTCTGTCACCTCTCTACCAGTGGCCTATGGGTGCAATAGGTGCCCTAAGGTGAGGGTGAGTATGTGACAGGATGGTCACGCCATGTGAATGCCCTGATGCGGCATTTCTCAGAATGTTGTTAAGCCACACATGACTGTATTTTAAGCATCTGTGTTCTTTGTGGCTCTTACTGGGTGTCAAGCTCTGACACTTAGTAGGAATTTGATAGCTATCTGGTGAATTAGTGAAGCTCTGGGTAGAGCTAGGTGCCTTCTATGAAACTGTGACTGGAGATCGGAGCCTGTCATCAAACCACGGAAGGCCTCCTTATCTCTGAGCAGAGAGACAGCTCTTGCTCCAGCCTGTATGTAGTGCGAGCTGATGAGAATCTGGTCTTAGTTTCAGTGCACCCAGAGTACACTTAGATCCTTTGCTAGGGACCAGCGCTGGGGACTTAGGGATAGAGAGGCCTATACTGCCACACCACCCTCTTGTGGCTATTATGGGGAACTCATCTTGGGTGCTGATTTCTTTTATAAAAGTCACTCAGGTCACTGTATTATTTAGGGAACCTTGAGAACATCGCAGGCATAGGCCATGTTGAAGTGGCCACATGATCACTTTCAAAACATGACCTTTGATAGACCTATTTGTTAGTATGTAGAGCTATATTTTTCAAAGCTGATGAGGACTCTGGCATACCTCTGGATCAGTGGTTCATAATTGGGCGGCATTTGCTCACCAGACAACATTTGGTAATATTTGGAGACATTTTCAGTGCTGGAGCTCAAAATTAGGTTCTCAAACAGGTCAGGCAAGTGCCCTGCCCCTGAGCTGCACCCTCAGCCCATGGAGACACACTTTGATGGTCATTATCAAGAGCCAGGGTGTGACCTCCAGTGGGTAGAGGTCAAGGACGTGGCTTACCTCCAGTGCAACAGCCCATCATGACAAAAATTATGCATCCCCAAATGTCAGTAGTGTCACAGTTGAGAAACCCAGCTCTAGATCTCTCCACCCAGGGAATTTGGGGAAGTTCAGTGCAGGGGATTACTCTGGCAATGACAGAAATCAAACAAACACTTCTCGGCTTTGTGAAGGGAGTGGCTCCTGAGTTCTGGCAAAGGGAGCACTAAGCTAGTCCTTGCCCCCTACTGACTATCTCCCCACCCCACAAGGGGAAGAACCACCTTACAGCTCATCCAAACTGTGTGGTTGTCTTCCATGCTCATAGTTGAAGCTATGGAGACCCAGGCCATGAAACATGCCCACCCAGCCACGGCACATAGCACACTGTAAATCTCCTGGGAAACACTAGGGTACAGTTTCTTTGGTAGACAGGTTACATTTATTCATTTCCTTTCTCTCTTTTTGGTGGGGGAGCGGGTAACTGGGAATCACCTCAGGACCTCGCTTTCCAGGCAAGAAGCATGATGCTGAGCTATTCCCCTGGCCCCATTTATTCATTTCTAAAGGGTAGAAACATAAACTTCAGGAGAAGCCTAAGCTCCCAGTAGCTTCCCTGTCACTGTGCCAGCCCAGTGTGTTCCCTGCCAACACACATGTCTTGAACAATCACGTGCCACTTGAGTGACTCCTAAGGAAAGCCGGGTCTCCATCCAGCTTGTATTTCACAACACCAGTTCCTTCAAATTGAGATGGGTCTGCTCCTCACGACTTCTCCAGAGCTTTGATATATTTGGCCAAAAGAAAACATTACAGGAGACACAGGAGGAAACCTAAGTCCAGTTCTCAGTGTTGCTCTTTTGGCCTATGGAGCAGGCTAGCTCTGGCTCCTGCTGTGCCACATGGGAAGATGCCAGTGGTCAGGGCATCACTAGGAGGGGCTTTTCCTCCCCCCAGCAGCCCAGGGCACTGGGCTGGCAGCGTGTAATGTCAAGTATTGTAGGCCAAGAGGCCTAAAAGACTCTCTCTAGAGCATAGCCTCCCTCTCCAGTCAAGTCTGGAGCCCAGAGAGCCAGAAAATGTGGGAGGACAGCCCTCCTTTTCCTTTGTTTCTGCCTTTCCATCAGGTAGACGTTAGCCACAGGAAAAACCCATGTGTTGCAAGCTGAGCTTCCAGAACAGAGTAGGCAGTAGCTGGGTGTGCTAGCTCATACCTTTATATTTCAGGCCTCTGGAAGGCTGAGGCAGGAGGATTAAGATTTTGAGGTCAACTTAGCAAGACTTTGTCTTGAGATTTTAAAAGGCCGGGGATGTAGTACAATGCAAGAGCCTTAGGAGTAGACCCCAATGTCACTATATGTCTATATTTTTTCACATATATGTATTTAATAATTTACATATTTAGTGTCATATAGTGTTAT